TTTCAAAATTTAGTTTTTTTAATTTCTATCAGCGTAGCATTGAAGTTGACATTAAATAGATGAATTTATAAATATGGAAATTTCCCGATCTTTTCCGTTCGTTTTCGAAAAAATAATAAAATAATATACCGTTTCCGACCATTTCCGACCGTTTTCATCCCTAGATGAAGTCACGTTGTGAAATCATGTGTGATGAATAATTAGTAAAAGTAATTATTGTTTGGTTCAAGTTGGGAGAAATCATTACTAATGTTAAATTTAGGGCCTTCTTGATCACTTCTATTACCCAGAGCTCGATCTTTTCTCATAACAGCTTAGAGAACAAGTAAATATCTATCTATTATATACTAAAAGTCCATTAAACTTCCTACAAACGCTCCTAATTCGCCACGTGTCATCTTATAAACGTTCCTAAGTCGCCACGTGGCACTATAATAAATTAGAGAAATTTCTAAAAGTTCCCTAGCAATTGATTTTCATTAAATTAGGTGGACCCATTATTTACCACCATTAGATTTATCAAAAAAAAAATTGCCTAACCCCAGACCAGGTCCACCTTGGGCATGTACTTATATTACTACTAGCAAAAGTACCCGTGCGTTGCACCGGGTGATTACGGAGTGTGTATATTGACCAAAAGTGTTGTTTGGTTTAGCAAAAGTGTCCGTCCGTTGCACCGGGAAGCGTACAGATCAGAAAAATATGCAATTAATTAAAATACAGATTCGCTGAAATATTTGGTATTTTTAAGTAGGTATGTGTATAATTAAATAAATTTACAAGTAAAGCAAGTGTGAGAAATAAAATGATATGGTTAAATTTAATTTTATTAAATTCTCCATGATTAGTTGCGCTCTTTGAAATTTTATTGGAATTTTGAGAGCTAAATTGCTAATTTTAATAATACAAACATCATTTAACAATTATTTAATTAGAAAAAGAAAGAAAATACTTCCTTTTAGGTTTGCTTCAAAATAAACACATAATAACTATATTTGTAATGCTTCTGAAAAAAATAAATTACTAAAAATGAACTTCTTCTCTTTTTCTTCGGCCCGAGGGACCTGAAATAGACTTATTTCCGTCCGTTGCCGGTCGGCCCACGACCTTATGAAAACCCTAACCGTAACCCTAACTCTCCCCCTCCCCCCCAAGCCGAGTCGGCCGCCTCCCCCACTCCCGACGCCGCCTCTCGCCCTCCCCCTTTCCCCACCGGCGCCGCTTCCCCTCCCCTCGCCTCCGGCGGCGCTGCTACCTCTCCCCATCTCCCGCCTCTCCCTCTCCCCCCAGCCGGCCGCCTCTCCCACCACCGGCTCCCATCCTCCACGCTAGCTGTGGTGGCGGTGGCGGCGCCCTTTTCCCATGCTAGCGGCCACGGCTTCCCCCACGGCGAGCGGCGGCGGCGCCCTTCACCACGCTAGCGGCAGTGGCGGCGGTGGCTCTCCTTCCCATCTCGCCGACACGACGCAGCGACGGCGGGGTGCGGCGGAGACGGCGGCGACGGCCGTCCCTCTCCCTCTCCCCGTCGGCGTCAACAGCGACGTCGGCTTCGTCCGAAGGTGGATCCATCAGCGGTGGCGGCCACCGCGGGCGGATCCGACAGCGGCGCTCCCTTCGGCGGCGGTGGTGGCGTCGGCGGCCGCCCTTTTTTTTTGCAATTTTTTTCCATGGCTATTGCTAACCGAATCAGATTGAGCACGTGGACGAATGGGACGAAAATAGATGTGACGAAAGGAAAAATATGAATATTTATATTAGTTATAGATTATAGAAAAAATGCCAGTGCGTTGCAACGAGTAAACTAAAATTATATTAAATATAAAAATATTAGATGATTAGGATTTAGTTTTACATGATATGAGCTCTTTAAGAAAATCTATTCCTAATGAAATAAAAAAAAGTTCAATTTAAGGGACCTCAAGTGAACTTATTCCATGCGGAGTAGAACAAATTCGGGACAGCTTTAGGGACATTAAGTAAACTTATTCTGTGACAAGCGGCCCAATAGTGTGGGCGGCCTGGGAAGGCCCGACGAGGGAGAAGCTGAGCGGTTCGATCTGATGGATGGTACTGATTGATCGCGCCCTATATATAAAAGTTGAAAGATCAAACCCTAACCCTAAAAACATTCCCCACCCCCTCCCTCTCTCTCAGTGGCACCGCCTCTCTCCCTCCGCCGCTCCTCCACCCCCCCCCCGGCGGCGCCGCTCCCCCTCCCCCTCCACGGCGGCGCCTCTCCCCTCCCCCTCCACAGTGGCGCCGCTCCCCCTCCCCCTCGCCCTCCACAGCGGCGCCTCTACCCCCTCTTTCTCGCCTCCCTCGTGCGACGGATCCGGCGTCGGCGGTGACCGTGGGTGGATCCGGCCGTGGTGGTGGCGGCCGAGGACAGATCCGGCGGCGGCGGCTCCCTTCAACCCCTCTCGCCTCCCTCCCGCGGTGGATCTGACGGAAGTGGTGGCGTCGACGCCGACCGCATGTGGGCTCGGCGGCTGCTGCTCCCCCTCCCCGGTGTGGCGACGCGGCTGGGAGCGGCGGTGGGCTCGAGAGCCGGTCGCGGCGGAAGGCGGCGATATCGACGACGACGACGGACGACGGCGACAATGGCAGCGACGACGGCGACCATGAGGAGGGCGGCTCCGGTAGGCAGCTAGGGTTAGGGTTTGGATTTTATTTTTGATTTGGGATATTGATTTTGTCGAGATTGATGGTTTTGATTTGGGATTGCAATTGAGTGATTTTGTGATTCATATAGTTTGAGAATTGGGGGCAAAAGGTTTGGGAACAATCATGAATTTTTTTTTATCTGACTGGGATTTTTTGGGGGTGGGGGAGGGACAAAAAATCCCCTGGCGGACGATGTGATGACCGGAAAAATACGAATATTTATATTAGTTATAGATATGTATGTACGAACCGTTTTTTTTCCACCTTAAGCCGGCCTGTACGTATTATGTATGCACGTTTGTTTTAAGGATAATACGTACGTACGTTACTTTCACCTCTTCTTCTCTCAATTTCTTCATATTTTTACACATATTTCTTCTCCTATTATCATACTTTATTAGTTAGAAAATATTTTTTTCTGTTAAACAATTCAACAGCTATAACATCTAAATTATGGGTATGTTTAGATCCCAAAAATTTTTAGCCAAAAATGTTACATCAAATATTTGGACACATGTATGGAGCATTAAATATGGATGAAAAGAACTAATTGTACAGTTTGCATGTAAATTGCGAGACGAATCTTTCGAGCCTGGTTGCGCCATGATTTGAGAATGTGATGCTACAGTAAACATTTGCTAATGGCAGATTAATTACGCTTAATAAATTCGTCTCGCAGTTTACATGCGGAATCTATAATTTGTTTTTTATTAGTCTACGTTTAATACTTCAAATGTGTGCCCGTATACTTCAAAAAAGTTTTGGCCAAAGAACTAAACACGGCCTATACTACTAATTTTCAATCCGCTCATATCTTTCAATTTATTTATGACTAAATTTATAGCTAACTATAACATATAAATAAACACTATAAAATGTATAAAACATAATTATATGTGTGCGTACTTTCTCTTCTTCTTTTCTCTCGCTCAACTCTTCCGTCTTATAATTTTTAACTAATTAACAACATAATATAAAAATAATCAATAATTACAAAAGCTAAATAATTATGATTCTTACGTCATATATGATTTTTAAAAGTTTATTTGAATTGTTAATGTATTCATAATTAAATAAATAATTTAAGATCTATATTATTCATATTTCACTGTATAAAAATAAACACCACCTGAGCTTGCACACCTATCCTTTATGCATCATAACCAAATAGAAGAAACAAAGCATTATGAAAAATTAAATAAGTAATATATCACCTCAAATCATTGTATATCCTCTGTAGCGCACTTAAGACGTACATCACATGTACATCATAATTAAAAACAAAACCTTAGAAACTGTAAGAAAAGATATCTACTCGTAAGTTTCATTTAATAGGTGGATCCATTATTTTTAACCAATAGATATAATTTTAGAATCTTAAGCCATCATGTGTTGCATCTTAAAATTTAGAAAAATCAGAAATCAGAAATTTGATAAAATAAGGACCAACATGCATATTTTTTAAGTTGCACATATAATTTCTAATCTAACTATTGCTCTATTCATAACTAAACCAATAATTTAAAGATCCATAACCCCTATATTTTGAGCTGGTATAAAATAAAACTAAAAAAATAACATATCAATAGGCACTAAATTGAACTATTTGGAGAAAAATAAAATAAGTTTGTACTTTGCACTAAAATTGGACCAACCATTACATGTTTCATTTTTATAATAATTTTTAAATGCTTACATATTAATGGCCTTGCATCTATCCTATACATATTAATGCTTACATATTTGCTACTATTAAATTTAATTTTTTGGACCCATATTGACTATATTTTCTTATAGATATAGATCATAAATATTACAAGGAAGCGATGATCTTTGATATGTGTTTGTTAATTTATATGTAAGTATGTAACAACTTGCGTGAATCTGAACCAACTAAAAACAGAAATAACTTGATGGTACAAATAGTTTTATTTACTAACAACAATAGTTCTTTAGGATTTGTGGAAAAATACCACTAAACATTCAATTAAACAAGACAAAACATTGTACTTTTAATTTACGTTTAATTTGTAGATTGTTTTCTAAACAAATTAAAAATAGATACTTTTGAAACATGGCAGGTTTTTATATGGACCATAGATAATTATTTATACGAATGAATTAAATATTATATATTTTAAAAGGTAACAAAAAGTTTGAATAAATTATCTAAGAAATGCCGATGAGAAAAATTATAGAGAAATAGTACTTTTGAAACATGGTAGTTTTATCCCGTTGATATTTCGTTTATATAAGTTTTTCAAACGCAGTATAAAATACATGCCCACGCAATGCGCGGGTTCTAAAGACAATTTCGAACTTGCTGGTATGAAACAGTAGTTATATACATAAAAATCGGAGAAGCATCTCAGCCCATGTTTCATTCATTGATTTCAGCTATCAAATCTCAAAAATGAATAAAAGAATGGAGTGTACATATATACACTTCACAGAATCAAATTCAATCCCCTCTGTGTCAAAATTGTTCCCGGACAAAATCAAATCCTCTCCGAGCAGAAGCTACTATACATACGATCGATCGAAACTCCTCCTCACACGGCGGCGACGTCGTCGTAGACGACGACGGCCTGCGCGGTGTCAAACTCGAAGTCGAACCCCGACGGCGCGGTGGCGCGGAAGCCGCGGTCCTCCCATGCCGCCGCCGCCGCCATGGCGCCGGCGGACGACGACGACACCGCCTCGAACCTGAAGCCGGCCGCCACCACCTGCTTGCCTGCTGCAGCGCCGCCGTGATCCGCCGTGGTCTGCGGCGGCTTGTAGTACATGCGCGCCGTGTGCGGGCAGTGGGAGTGGAACCTCGCCGCGATGCGCACCCCCATGTCCAGCATCTCCACGTACCGCGACGACATCTCCTGATCGATCGATATGATTTCCTTCCAAAGCAAGCAAGCAAACGCGGCTCTGTTCAGCTCGCTCTTGATCTAAGCAATTCCGTTCTTTTTTTTGCTCCGAGCGCTGGGATCGATCGAGGAAGCGGGCGGCGGCTGGGTTATATATATGGTTGGAAGATCGATCGATCGGAGAGCTTGAGTTGGCGGAGGCGGTGGGGTGTGTTCGTCGTGGGTTTTGTGCATGGTGTGGTTCCTGGCTTTTCTTGGCGTGGGTGTGGGAGAAGAAGAAGAAGAAGAAGAAGAGACTCAGTTTAAACGTGCCCCTTTGTGTTGCGCCTCGGCCAGCACTCAGAAGGAGGCTATGGAGGCGGTTGGGTAGCGGTGGTTGCGCTTGCGCATGCGCGGAACGAGCGTATGTGTTGTGTTGGAATGAATTATTGTAGATACAAAGCTTTCACTAATAGAGTTTTGAATGGACATGCAGGTGCAGTAATAGTACTATTGGTTAATTATTTTCAATTTTTCTATATATTTGTCGACAGATGTTATTACAGTACAATTGTGGTGTAATTACACTGTAACTTACATGTAATTACACTATAAGTATAATGTAACTTTTAAAATCTCTCCGTAACATGTTGTTCCAGTAAAATAGAGATCGTGGGAACAAATCCTTTCACATATATGTGTGCTGTGATTTTTTTTTTCTTCCTCACCAGAACAAATCTTGTAATATATCTAACGATTCAAAATTATGTGAAACTTACATACAAGTTACACTATAGTTACATGCAAATTACAGTATAATTACATACAAGTTACAGTGTAATTACATTACGATTGTACTATAATTACATCTGTCAAATTTTTAGGAGAAAATTTATCGACAAATGTATAGGTGGTCCCATTTTTTTCCTTGGATTTTCCTCTTTTTTGGTTTAACTGACTGCAATTCTAAGCTCAACGCTTTTAATAATGGTGTCTGATCGTGAATTAATCAAGAAATTCCATGGAGTATTGTTTTTGTTATAAAATTGTCGACGGGTGATACCCGTAGACCGGATATAGAGGGTATTGGGGTACGTTGGTACAAGGATCTACGTAGTACGACATCAAGCAATCAAAAGACAAGAATTATACTGGTTCAGGCCCCTTGATAGGTAATAGCCCTAATCCAGTTGATATGGGATTATATGGTGGAAAACACAGGTTACAAAGAGGACAATGGAACTTATCGGATCCGACGAGATCGTAGTCGAGTTGATTCGACTAGCTCTCGATGACTTGGCTCCTCGCAGATTCCGACTTCGTAGGCTGTGTTGGTTGTGTTGGCTCTGAGATTCGATCCCTTGAGCCCTCCCCGGGGGGTCCTTTTTATATCGCGGATCTGGAGGTCTCCAAGTAGAACTCGGAGGTATCAGACCCTATACGATACGTCAACGACCCAGTTCTGTCCGAGTAGGATTCTTTCCTTTTGTAAATCCCGTGAAAGGTTTCCTTAGAACATACAGGAAATATCCGCATGCACGTGGATATGCCATATCGATATGTAACGTATATCGAAGGGTAGAGGGTATGCCTAACCCGTAACCCTGACAAAAATACTCCCTCCGTTTCGAAATGTTTGATGCCGTTGACATTTTAGCACATGTTTGACCGTTCGTCTTATTCAAAAAATTTAAGTAATTATTAATTCTTTTCCTATCATTTGATTCATTGTTAAATATATTTTTATGTAGGCATATAATTTTACATATTTCACAAAAGTTTTTGAATAAGACGAACGGTCAAACATGTGCTAAAAAGTCAACGGTGTCAAACATTTCGAAACGGAGGGAGTATAAACATAGCCCTTTTACGGTAATCCATCTTCCATCTTACCTCTAGAAATTAATCGTTGCAACGGAGCAACCTCGTGAGCTCTGGAGAAATGGACGGAACGACCGCCTGCCACCCGATGCTGGTAGAAATGTTGATTATGGCAGGCGGACAATGCAACCAAATAAAACATTATTTTTGGCAGACAAACATGTTAAAATGCCTTCTTGTAAAAGAATTTTAGCAAAACAAGAACACAAATTTCCAAAAGAAAACAAGTACATAAATCCTAGCACGATCCCTAAGCTAGATCGATCAGCCACCACACCCCGCTACGACCGCTACAGTGGCCACCGGCTGTGGATCCACTCGTCTTGGGGCAGCCCCCATCTGATCTAGCCGTCGAAAGGCTGTCTGCGGTGGAGGAGGAGGAGCTGAGGGAGAAGACGTTGAGAGGTTGCCGATAGTGGAGGTGGAGCTGAGGGAGAGGAAGTTACAGGATGCCGATGGTGGAGGAGGAGGAGCCGACAGAGGCTCCCCAATATCTGGCCGTCGCGAGGCTACCATCTCAGTTGTTGCGAAGCTACTGGCAGTGGAGGAGGTGGAGCTGAGGGAGATCATGTCGCGAGGTTGCTAGCAATGAAGGAGGAGGAGCCTATGGAGCCTCTACCAGATCCGATCATCGCAAGGCCACCGGCTGGTGGACAAGGAGCTGAGGCGCACGTCGGCCGCTCTCATCGCTAGCCGCTGGGTGAGAGAGGTGATGGGGGAGAGAAGAAGGGTGAAAATACGGAGGAGAGGTGGTAGGGGAGAGGAAATGTGTGAGAGAGGAATGATGAATTGAAGTTAGGAGAGGGAGAGGAGTAAAGGACTTAACGCTGGGGACGGAGCAGAGAAAAGGAGAGGGAAATGACGTATCCTTGTCATGTGCGGGCTAAAATCGATCGTCTGCGAAAATCCTATTTTTCATTCTAACCTCCTATGAGTTTTTGTAGCCGGGTATTTAGTGAACACCATCCAAATTTTTTTATATACAGATTTTAGAGCTATACGCATAATCGGAGCTAGTGCGTTACCTTGAAAAGTACTACCTCCGTCCCAAAAAGCCAGTCATTCTGTGTTGAAGAAATGTCCCGTAAAATTTGTCGCTCTAGCATCTGCCCACTGAACTTAGCATCTAGTCTATTCCATGGAATCATTCTAACCCTCCTGATTTTAGCTAGTAATAATTACTCTTTCCCTGTGTAACAGTGCCACTACTAGTACCATGCATGTACCATGCGATAGATAGCAGTACAAGTACTAGGGACAAGGATTTTCTACACCTAGGTGCCATAGCACCTATCATTTGCATGCGACTCAAATAAAATCAGATAGTGAATAGTACCCATACAGTGCAGATAAAATTTGTTATTTTTTTTCTTCATATATCGATCGAATTTAGACTTGCATGTTTGCATACTGTCTTATATTATCATGGACTATCTTATCAAATTTTATGAATTTTTTATACAACTGTTTAAATTATATGCATACACCTAGTTGCCATGGCACTTAGGTGTAGACAATATTTCTGCTAGTACTAGTGATTACTTAATTACTTGTTGTATTTTTTTCTTACAATATGAAGTGACAAATGCAACCACTAAATAGGGACAATATGGTAAATTTTACTTCCGGTTAATTTATCCGGCCAACTTTTTTTTCTTACAATATGAAGTGACAAATGCAACCACTAAATAGGAGCAATATGGTAAATTTTACTTCCGGTTAATTTATCCGGCCAACCTTAAAACGACTGGCTTTCCCGAACAGAGGGAGTATCTTCATATAAGATTTTTTTTTTGAGATTTATCAAAATCCACGTCATTTCTATACAATCGTAGATGCCAACGCAAATATGCTGGTAAGTATGAGACAGTAGTTGTATACGTCAAAATCGGAGAAGCATCAACCAATGTTTCTTCCATTAATTTCAGCTATCAAATCTCAAAAATAACAATAAAACGGAGTGTACATAGGTACATTACATTCACATAATCAAATTCAATCCCTTTGTGTCAAAATTGTTTCCGGGAGAAAATCAAATCCTCTCCGGCCAAAGCTACTATATATACGATCGATCGAAACTCCTCCTCACACGACGGCGACGTGGTCGTAGACGACGACGGCCTGCGCGGTGTCAAACTCGAAGTCGAACCCCGACGGCGCGGTGGCGCCGAAGCCGCGGTCCTCCCATGCCGCCGCCGCCGCCACCGCCATGGCGCCGGCGGACGACGACGTCACCGCCTCGAACCTGAAGCCGGCCGCCACCTGCTTGCCTGCTGCAGCGCCGCCGTCCCCGCGGCCGCCGTGATCCGCCGTGGTCTGCGGCGGCTTGTAGTACATGCGCGCCGTGTGCGGGCAGTGGGAGTGGAACCTCGCCGCGACGCGCACCCCCATGTCCAGCATCTCCACGTACCGCGACATCTCCTGATACGATTTCCGGCTCACTCTGATCTTGAATTGATTTTCTTCTTCTCCGAGCAGCTGCGAGGAGGCAAGGCCGCAGGGGCGGCGGGGAAAGATGGATTTCGAAGGGGAATCGGGCGATGGCTGGGTTATATATGGTTGGAAGATCGTTCGGAGAGCTTGACATGACGGAGGTGGTGGTGTACGTGTTTGGCGTGTGCTTCGTGCATGGTGTGGTTGACTGGTTGCTGGCTTTTCTTGGCGTTGGTGGGGGAAGAAGAAGAAGAAGAAGGCGAGACTCAGTTTAAACGTGCACCTTGTGTCTCTCTCGGTCAGCGCGACGATGGAGGCGGTTGCCGGTTGGGTAGTGGTGGTTACGCTTGAGATTGAACGAGCTCAGGGTGTGGGTGGGATTTGTTGGAGGCCAACACATATATTAGCAGATTATCGAATCCGTTCCTTTCAAAAAAACAGTAGAGGTGCGAGAAGATGTATGTAGTTTCGAGTCGACAGTAATAGAGATGTGAGAACATGTAAAACACCCGTGCACTTTCCTTTACCCTCGACAATATCACACAAGCAAAAATGGACAGAGATAAAGGGTGTAACTCTCTCTCTATTAGATCTATTGTCGTTCGTTGAGTATAAGCAACCTCAAACCCTACCCCAATATAAATATAGGAGATAAATCTTATTTCTTGCCTGATTCGGATTGACCAACAAGAAATTTATCTTTTAAAAAAAAACTTTTCTCCAAGGGATTTGTTTTATAATAGGATTAACTCAACAAAGTCTTAAAACGACACCCACATATTCAACAATAGCCTAAGTGCAAATAGCCTCTAAAAATTCAACAATATCGGCCTATTTGTTTACTTAATGTCAGTTTCAAAATTTTTACTAAAATTGCTACAAATAAAATTTCTGGAGTGGCTCAGAAGGTTTTTTAGTCCCACACAGATAGCTTTTATACCTGGGAGAAATGTTATGGAGGGGGTTGTTATTTTTCATGAAACGTACATGAGTTGTGCCGGAAAAAAGAGTGGTGTACGTTTTAAGGTTGATTTTAAGAAAGCTTATGATAAAGTAAAATGTTCTTTTGTTCAACAAACGTTGAGAATTAAGGGTTTCTCGCAAAAAAAAGGTGTGATTGGATTTCTTCTTTTATCCAAAGTGGACTTGTTCACATTAAAGTGAATGATCATGTGGGATCAAATTTTCAAACATATACGGGTTTAAGGCAAGGGGACCCATTATCTCCAATTCTTTTTAATATAGTTGCTAATATGTTAGCTATATTAATAAAGAGAGCAAAAGGTAATGGTCAAATTTCTGGAGTGGTCCCTCATCTGGTTGATGATGGTTCATCTATCTTACAATATGCTGATGATACTATCATTTTTAAGCATGATTTGCAAAAAGCTAAAAATATGAAATTGATTTTAACTGCTTTTGAAAAATTTTCTAGTCTGAAGATAAATTTTCTAGTCTGAAAATTTAAGGAAAGGAATGTCATGAGCAATATTTAAATATTTTTGGGTGCAAACTAGGAAATTTTCCTGTTAGATATATTAGCATTCCTATGCATTTTAGAAAGCTTAGTAATAAAGATTAGTTAACAATTGAAGGTGTTGGTCCAGAAGTATGTTAGCATGGCGGAAAGCAAGGCGACGAGCACGGCGGCGCTAGGGCGTGCGTGCTTGCCGGAGAGACGACCTCCCTCGCCAGCGACGCCGAAGAGGGGAGGTAATCGAGACGTTTCGATAGGTGGGAAATGGTGTTGGAATACCCATGGGTTAGCCCAAGGGCCCGACACTATTCACGCGGGCTGGAGTGGTGGGGCTCGTGGAATCCGCCATGGATGGTCCATGCGTGATCTGCTCCCGAGCCCGATTAAGGAGGTTTTTTTGTCTGCGAGCTGGGTGTGGGTGCCGAAAGGGGGTTCTCTGAGTCCTCATCTAGGGTTTCCAGCCACCAGGCGAGAGGTCGTGCGTTTTGGGGCGACGACGAGGCGGATCTGGAGAGCTCCGGCGAGACTCACTGACGGGAGATCCTTCCTCGAGGTAGCGAAGGGAAGTATGGATCGTAAACCTCAATTCCAACGTCCTGATCAATGGGTTCCCAATAAGAGAAGAGCGTTCGAAGAGGAGGGGGGAGGTGGGAATTGGGGGAATCGAAATTTGCAGGAAAGGGAGGAACGTGAACTTCGGAATCGGTTGATGGGGCAACAACAACAGCGCGAGGAAGGGAGGTGGCAGCAAGTTGAGAGAAGGGGGGCCAACAAACAGTGGCAAGGAGACAGAAACAGGGAGGGTGGTGCTTGGGAGGGAGGGGATCGGCGTCCGACTCGTGGAAAGGAGAAGCTGGGGGAGGAAGGGAGATCAGGTCCTTCCCAGAAGGAAGAGATCAAGTGTTTCAACTGTGGAGAAAGTGGTTATCATCAGGTGAACTGTCAGAAACCTCCTCTGTGCTATGTCTGTAAGAATCCTGGACACATCTCATCTCATTGCCCTGTTCATGTTGGGGGGAGTAGCTCTAATTTGAGCAAACTAGAAGTAAAGCTAAAAGGTTATGGCATACCTGAGCAGGGTTTTTTCAGCCTAAATGTAGATAATTTAGGTGTGGCTGAGAAAGGGGCACAATTCAGAGGAATCCTAACTGTGGAGAAAGGGGCTGGTTCAGTGCAAAAGGTGGCCAATGAGATGTCTCATCTATTTAGGGAGAAAAATTGGGATTGGAATGTGAAGCAAATCAGCAGTAATAATTTCTTGATTGATTTCCCGAGTGAAGATGCTAGAAGACAAGTTACTAAGTCAGGGGGTTTGTGTTTAAGACCTCATCCATCAAAGCTAGTGTAATAGAATCTAAGATGACTGACAATGCTGTGGATGAGCTCTTTGTGATCTGGGTAAAAGTTTTTGGTCTTCCAGGTTTCGCCAAAAAGCAGGAAATCATTAGAGCAATATCTGATATTGTGGGTGAATTTAAAGAAGTGGATGAGAAATCTTTGAAGGGGGAAGGAGCTGTTAGGATAAAAGTGGGATGCTTGGACCCTAGTGCTATCAACTATTCTGTCATAATATATATTAATGACATTGGATATAAGATAAAATGGGAGGCAGAGGTTGATACAGAGGGGACAGGGTCTATTGATTGGGGGGGGACAATGATGATGATGATGCTGATGATCTGGATGATGATTACCCTCCAGGAGGAAAGAAAGGTGGGGGTCAGGATGCCAAAGGGAGTCCAAAGAAAAAGGAACCTGCTAAGGATGCAGATAGCAAAGGAAGGATTGTCAGTAAGACTCAATCTGCCCCCCAGTTGTTAAAAGGAACTCTAAAAACTTGCAAAACGCCATAATTCTGTAGGTGGAGAATGAGGTGGGGGTCACTGCTAAGGGTGAGGATCCTATTGAATCAATTACCGTGGAGAAAAAGGCAGACAAGGCAGTGGTGTTATGGAAGTCAGAGGAATTTTCACAACCAGAATTGTTTGAGCAAGTTTCACAGGAGGAGGACAAAAGTGGTGACCTTCTCAAAAGAATGGATGTGGATTTAAAATTGGGGGGTGTTAGATTATTCACAGATGAAGAGGGGGAGAAATGTGCTATCCCCGCTGACTCAGACATTGAGTTGATGAGGGCAGAGGAAGATGATGACAGTGAACAACTAGATCTGGAAAGTGAAGCAGAGATACAGCTCAAGGAGGTTAACTTCCAGAAAGTCAGGCACAAGAAAAAGCAAGTTAGTTTGGTCAAGAGACAGAGTTCTAGGGTGAAGGATAAAGAGGTATCAGTTCATCTAAAAGCTGAGCTCAGGAAGTCCAAAATGAACATGACCTCAGGTATGTCATCAAAAAATTCTTATGCAATCTTTCATTCTGTTAGTCAGGATTATCTTATCAACATTGCTAGGGCTAGGGGAATCTCTTTGGGTGACAATTCTGTGGAAGTGAGATGCAACTTAGATGCTATTTGTGCTAGGGAATTGGCACAGGCTACTATTTTTGATGCAGATAAGAGTTTACAACAGATGGCTGAAAAAGCAAGTTTGGAGGAAGAAGGGGGGCAGGAAGTCCCCCCAAATGGGAATAGTGTAATTCTGGGGTTTTCTGTGGTAGAAATGGAGAATGATCAGTTTGTTGAGGGCCTGAAGGAGGAAAATAGGGATGAGTTGGATGATGCAGATAAAGAGAGTTCTGATAATCTGGGGGATTTTGACTTGCATGACTAGGAGGGTCTGAGACAGAAGAAAAAGTAAGGGAAATAATCTGTGCAAAAGGGGTCTAGGCCAAAAAAGAGGGGGCGTCCTAGGAAGAAGTCTAAATCATGAGAGTGGTGTTCTGGAATATTGGGGGTTTGGGGGCTGCAGGTAGACAAAGACAGTTGAGGGAGATGGTTTTTGAACAGAAAGTGGATATAATTTGCCTTCAGGAGACAATCAAACAAAGTTTTACTGACAGGGAATTGAGGAATCTGGTGGGAGATAACTTTACTTGGAGATATGTAGCAGCTGTGGGTCACTTTGGTGGTATCATGACTGGGGTCAAAGAGCTGTTGTTTGATATTGTTGATTGGGATCAAGGGGCCTTTTCTCTAAGGATGGTGATTAAAAACAAGAAGGATGGACAGAGTTGGGAGCTAATTAACATTTATGGTCCTGCTCAACAGGCCCATAGAGGGGAGTTCCTAGCAGAAATTGGTAACAGAGTGCAGCAAGGAGTTTATCCTATGATTTTGGGGGTGACTTTAATTTGTATCGATATTTGGATGAGAAATCTGGTGGTGGTGGGGCAGATATTAGAAGAGCTGAGGCCTTCAATAATTTTATCAATCAGTATGGGTTGCAAGAACTGTTTAAGTTAGGGGGGAAATTCACCTGGACAAATAAACAAATCAATCCTATAAGATGTGTTCTAGATAGAATCCTGGTGACTTCTAGTTGGGATCATTTATACCCTTTGGCCATTGTTAGTTCTTTTTTGAGGGTTGGTTCAGACCATGGTCCTTTGCTGTTAAATACTAGGGAGGGGGAGAGAGTTAGGGGAAACAATTTTAGGTTCGAGATGGGCTAGTTTGAGTTGGAGGGTTTTAAGAAAGATTTGCTTGAGAAGTGGCCTGCCAGAATACAGAGCAAAGTGATGAATTATTGGCATCTTCTTATGCCTTATCTG